AGGCTTTTCAGGGAGCTTTTAGGACAACCTGATAATAATGAATTACAGCAGTCCAGCATAGAATAAATAAATGCATGAGCTAGTTTTTCAGCGTCACTCTGAAAAAGGATGTTTCTAATTTTAGAGATAGTGCACAGATGAAAGCTTTTGCTTGAGTATTCTTTTGAAGTAAATATGCGGTATCGTAATTACATTTTTCTGTGCAGTTAAAATGCTAAAGTTCAGCAGAAGTTTTAGTTTTTTAAATGACCCTTAGGCCAGTTTTTGTTTTCCATTATTATGAGGTCAATAACTTTTTAACCATCACTCAGTGAGAATCAGTGGTGAATTGAATATTTGAGGTTTATTATGACAGCTTGTCATTGTGCTTCACAGTTGGGCCTGATTTGTCTTCTGAGGGATGAGGAGATGCTTCCCCAGAGGTTCGGCGCAGAAGCTGCCATCTTCGTACACGAGCCGTCCCCTCAGGATGGTGGCGCGCACGGCCCCTTGCAGTTTGAGGCCAAGGTAAGGAGTCAGCTGATTGCACAGTCACAAACAGCAAACTGTTATACAAACAACACTCGTCAACTCATCGTACAGTGTTTATGTTAAAATTTTCTCAGTGATTACATTTACCTTGTTTTTATGATGTATGTTTTCTTCTTGAATCTGTGAAACACAGCAAAGGATGAAAGACATCTGCCTCAGGATATGATGACTGTTTATGGTTTCTTACCTCAAACTCTCTCTCTGGGTCCCACACGACCAAGTCGGCATCATAACTGGGGGCAAGGCAGCCCTTCCGGCTGTCGAGGCAACACAGCTGAGCTGTTTTTTGGCTCAGGAGCCTCACAACATCAGGGAGCTGAAAACCTCGTTTACTGGCTGAACTCCAGAACAGAGACAAGCCTGAAAACGATGAGAGTAATAAAGAAGATCACTGAGAACTGAACTGAGACTAATCAAATCAGAGTTTTTCCACTCCTTAATTCTATTTGTCCTTTAATAATAAGATTGTATGAGGCGAAACACTGCGTATCACTGTCACGAGACGTGTTGGTGTCAGACTTTGACCGCTCTCTCACTGAGGCAGAACAGTAAATGATTGCTTTAAACTGGAACTCGTTCATGTTTACCTTCCTGTGAACTTTGACTGACTGTCAGTGATTGTCAAAAGCATTATGGGGGATATGTGGGGGCAGGGGGCAGCTAATCCAACCCAAAAGAAAAGAAGCATATCCCTGTAATATTCCACGGATTAGAATTCATTTGTAATCCATCCATCCATTTTCTTCTGCTTATCTCATTCAGGGTCAGGGGGGTTGGAGCCTAACCCAGCTGTCATACAGTGAGAGGCAGATTACACCCTGGACAGGTCACCAGTCTGTCAGAGGGCTAACACACAGAGACATCATCTCTTCTATTCATATCAACTGGTTGATTCTCACCAGAGCGTTCACTATTATACGAGGTACTATAAAAGTGCTGAAAGTGCTGTGATTATAATTGTATTGTCTGAAACACTACGTTATGTTGCAGTAGTTGAGTAGAATAGTTTCTCCATCTACAGTTATTACTGATGCGAATGCCTGTTAACAATTCCCATTACTGTCATCCAAATACAGTTTTGGCATTTGGTCTTTCCATTGCACCAAACAAATACTTGGAAAGCTGCAGCAAGACCTCCTCAGGATACAGAACAGATCACGCATCTGACATGACATTAATTATGGAGGAGAGAGGCTTGCTGAGGCAGCAGTAACTGCAGGCAGGTGGCATCAACTTTGCCGGTATGATATGCAGAAGGGGTTGATGTAGGCTGCTGAGGTCCCGGGACCGTGGCAGACATTAAGGTCTGCCTGCCTTTTTGATAGTTGCTACTGAATATTAAATATTCTGCATTTGTGTTTGCACGAGTCAGTACCAAACTGTAAAGAAGAAATCCCTCCCCAAGCCTGTGTGAAGTCTCCACTGTCCAGTTTCTTCAAGTCGGTGGTGCAGGGGGAGTGGTCTGAGACCACCATGTCAATCTGTCCAGCTTTCAGCGCAGACCATAGCTGCTCCTGGTGGGGAAAAAATCAGTCAGAGAGTAGCTTTTTGTTGTTGTTTGCTGAAAATAGTCAACTTTGTGTCTTCTGTACATATGATTGTTTACTCGGTTAACAGATCCTCTGATGGGTGGGCAGCACTTAAATTGCGTGGCCCCTGCAGGTATGTCTTCTGCACACAGGCTGAGATAGTGATGGGTGGTCTCCACAGTCAGAGGAGCTCCAGCCTGCCGTGCTTCCTCAATCAGTTTCAGTGGCTTTGCAGAAGACAAGTGAACTATGTGGCAGCGAACCCTGGAGCAGGGATATTATAAGAAACATCAGCATCTCCCTTTGGTTGATTTTCTTATGGAATGACTATTTTTTCCTGCTACACACAGAACCTATACAAATATATGAACTATGATATTATGGTTATTCGTTAACATGATGATTTTCTCACCTGTACTGCAGGCAAAGCTCTGTGACAACACGAATAGCTTCGGTTTCCATGACGTCTGGCCTGGACCGCAAGAAGGTGGAGTACTGGCAAGGGTCTAACATGGGGTTGGGTAAGAAAATATCAGTGTTTATTAGTGTAAAAACAAATAAAAAGGATAAAGGGTGAATGAATTTTGGACACTGACTACATTATATTAAGTATTTTCATAAAACACTGTAATGATTGTTACCACCAGTCTCTCCTTTTCCTTCCCAAACGTCCCTCTCTGCATGAAACTGGAGGAGACAGGAGAAAAAGGCTTATTTTTTTATTTCATCTGGCAATGTTCTGTGTGCAAACTAAAGGCAAATCACACACAGAGTAAGAGAACTTAATGTTACGTAAGATGTTTTGGTTTGTAAATTACCAGCAGGACGCTTCCTGTGCCTTGCAGCTGCTTCATGGCTGTATGTAGATCGCTGTCATTTACATGGGGGAACTCATCCACCCCGCTATGGATGAGAAAACACTTGAAGCCAGCCACTCCAGCCTGGATCATTGGACGTAGATGGAGCTGCAAGGAGACATTCATGGAGCATTTGCTTTAGTCTTGTTTTTTTTTGTTTGCTTTTTTACAACCTGGCCTGTTTGTAGAGTTCATCATGCTAAAGCTGTGCACACATTACCTGATTGCCAGGGACCACGCCTCCCCAGAAGGCTACATCCACAAAACACTTCCCTGTTGCCTCCCGCAGCTTCTCGTGAAAATTTCCAAGAGTTGTGGTGGGAGGGATGCTGTTTCTGTGTGAATAACAAAGGCCTGATGAGAGCTTCACGTCTACTGTTTAAAAAGAATCTTTCTAAAATGGTCTCAGGCCAAAGCCAAAAATCATTTCAGCCATAGAATAAAACATAAAACTGATAAAGAAGACATGTTACGTTACTATTACTTTTTTCATTATTTGTGCTATATTTAACCCGTCAGGCAAGACTGCATCGTTATGTTTTGTTTTCTAGCTTTAAACTTTTTCCAGTTACCCTAAACTCATTCACTGTAAGTATAATTCTTAGAATAAAGTGTTGCTCACAAATAAAAATTTCAGCCTTGACATTTTAAACCAAGCCATTGACGTACAGTGCTTCTCAGATTCATTTTGATGTTTGCCTGAGGAAAACAACATTTATTTTGCAGTCTGTTTACCCTGCACGCTCTGCCAGTGACCTTGTCTGATCAGACTGCAGGGACTGATTTCTGAATTGGTGAAGTCTCCAACTTACAGCGGCATGTCCACAATCGTCGTCACCCCTCCGGCTGCTGCAGCTCTGGTGGCGGTCCAGAAACCCTCCCAGGAGGTACGGCCTGGTTCATTCACGTGAACGTGGCAGTCTACAATGCCTGGCATCACCACGCTGTCACCCACATCCAGCACCTTCCAACCACAGAAAAGTTTTTTAAACAATGCAATGAATCAAGCATCTGAGAGAAAAAAGATCTTCAGGAGTGTTAAATCAGTGAATTACAATTTTACAGACAGGCGAATTATCCTGAGCAGTGTTCTGAGGAGTGAGACCCAGCTTACCTGACAGGCCACATTCTCAGAAAAGCTGCAGCTCGAGACTATTTCATGTATCTTCCCATCCTTTATAACTACAACTGCAGGACGTACTTTGTCACCATCCAGCACCCTCGTACTCCTCACAGCACTGACTGTTGATCCGAGTTCCATGTTTCTTTTTTATTGACTGTTATTGAGTTGAGTACCCTAGACTTTCACTAATATTCCTCTGAACTCTAGATAAAATCTGAGCAGCTCAGTTGCCCTATGTGGAGGCACAACCCTCTACTGAACGGGCTTATTGACCTTTGTTTGGCCACGTGACATGCAGGGCCAGTCATGCACGGTTTGTATGAAATTTCACAAGTAGGGCCATAAAATATACTGATTCTAGAGGACATATGACAAATTGTGAGCATGTTGAGTAGTGGTGTCTGATACTGCATGTACTAATACTGATACTTTTTCTTTTAAAGGCATTTTCATACTTCATGTTTGAGACAGATTTTTTTCAGCTCCATTTAAATATTTCATTTAACATATTTCAGGGGGCTTATTTGAATGTCTGAATATAGTATAGTAATAGATATGATGACCAATATCACTTTTTAAATTAATTCAATTAAACTTTATTTATATAACGAAAACCACAACAGGAGTCATCTCAAGGCACTTTATACTGTAAGGTAAAAGGGCTACAATAATCTATTATTTGTTTGATCGTATTTTACAATGAAACGGATTTAACTTAAAAATGTAGATTTACACTTTTTTTTAAAACCGAATCAGTTTTGAGCACACATCTGCGCCGATTCTGACAAGTATTTAAAAAAATAAAAATCTCGTGCGCAAATCCGACAGATGTGATCCTCCTCACCTGTCATCACCGCAGCCTGCTGCTGGCTTTGGCTGTCTGTGGGCGTGGGGTGAGTGTGAGGGATGGAGGCTGACAGGATTCAGCTTGAGCAAGCCTCGCCTCCCCTCATCCCTTCATCCTCCCGGCGATGCGCTGTGCGTTATGACGCCAGGCCGTTTGACGAGCGCATTACGTGGGGCTGTCAGAGCAGCACAGCAGCCGCGTTATGTAATGCATCGGGTGTTGCTGCACGGATCTCAAGATCTGGAGGAAAACTGACGGATGGCTGATTTGGTAACAAATAACCGCGTGCCGGCGTTTGACTGAGCTTACAACTACAATGCTAACTGTAAACTGTAGGAGTGCAGTGTGATAGAGCCTGATTGGGACATCGGTGCCCATCCCTGAGGTGCACAGACGTCTGGAGCCTGCGGAAGCTGCACATCTTTTTTTTTTTTTTTTAGCCGGCCGCTGGCGCGTCTGTGTTCAACGTGTTCTCTTATCTCAGTGGAAATAAACTAATGCGGGTTTGGCTGAGGGAAGAAACAACATCGTCTTTTGTTCTTTATTGCGTTGGTTTGAGCCAACAGCCGCTGAGCTGTGGTATAAACAATGGCGGGTCCCGAGCAGTCCCAGCAGCAGCAGCAGCAGCAGGTAGAGGAGAAGGCAGAGCACATAGATGATGCTGAGATGGCTCTGCAAGGCATTAACATGCTGCTCAACAACGGCTTCAAGGAAAGCGACGAGCTGTTCAGGAGATACAGGTAATTATTTTGCGCATTAATCGCTGCAATCTTGCTGAAGCCTACAATTTAGTGAGATTTTTTAAGTCTGAAACACTACACAGTACAGTATGTCCCTATGGATCCACATATACCTCAAACGGAAGAATATTTTTTAAAGAACTTTACTATCTTTGAGGATCTGTCTGATTTATGTCACCACCTTTAAAATGGAAGTCATAGCACTAGAGTTGAAATTAAGAAACCAGGTGACAGATATAAAAAGTTAAGAAATCAAAGAAAATGTTAAACGATGTCAGTTACTTTATTGCTGTATTTTCTATCATGAAAGTATTTGGTGATTTTGTAGTACATTGTAATAAATGTAAATCAGTTTAAATGTATTTTAACTTATTGGTCGAGATAAAACATTTTGGGATTTCAGCTTTAGCTCTGAAGAGTCGTGAAGGATAAAGGATATTTTTTCAGGCACAACAGATTAATGATACTTGTTTGTTGCAGCCCTACGTGGCCTCGCTAAATGTATGCACTGAGACACTTGCATTTTCCTCCTTGCATGTCAGACAGATAGTCCTTGGCAGCGGTCATGACAGCTTAAGATGAGACTTGTTTCTGCTCTGTTTGTGCTAACAGAAAAAGTTACTGTCTGCAGCTCCTTTTAAAAATGTTCATCTTGGTTTTGCAGGACACCCCAAAAATACACAAAAAGCATAATAAAGTTTTTTTTTCTTGTTCTCTGGTTTTTTGTTTCTTCACAGGGGCCAGAGCCCATTGATGAGCTTTGGGGCCAGTTTTGTCAGCTTTCTGGTGAGTTTCCTTAGCCAGTAGTCCAAAAAGTTGGTAGAAAAAATAGCAATGTACTGAAAGAGGTGTGAAAGATGCAAGAGCAGAGTTAAAATAATGGCCACCCCATCACAGTTCACCCAGGTATTAGGACCTCATTGTCACCACTACATTCTCTCCTTTGATTTGCTTTTAAATCCATTAACATAATGGATGCTTCCTCCTCTCAAGATCAGCATCACTCTTGCAGTGAAGCACATTACTGAAATGCTTCAATAATGGCAGAAGGAGATTTTTCACAGCATGGTTGTCACACACACACACACTCACAGACACTGCTGTGTCACTCCCACTCGTGTCAACACTCGCACAGCATGATGTCATCCTCTGTCCCCAGATGCTAAATGGCCCTGAAGGCTGTTGGGGGTGCTGACATCTGACCAATCATTGCAGGCACTCACACATGCCCAGTGGCATTTAATGCACCATGCATAATATTATTACAAGCTAGTATAAAACCACAAAATTAATTTCTTATGTCAATGTAAGAAATTATTCTTGTTTTATATTTAGCATTTCACCCTGTGTGTGTATTCTGCTGGGCTGCATCTTTTCAGCCATCCCAAACACAGCTGCACAGATGTCACCGGGTTCCTCCATTCATTATTTTGTAGAAAGAGCCCTTTGTCCTTTCCTGCTTTTAAAGCTATTACATAATGCTCCTTCACTCTTAGATTGTAAGCTAGCTAATGCATAAAAATGCCTTACAAAACAATACAAATTCATATCAAGATAGTACTAATGTGAAGCAATGAAATATCACCAGACAAGGACTTTTTTCCTGCCTTTCACTGCAGAATGCCATGATGACATTTGAGGAGGAGAAGATGCAGACTGCCTGTGATGATCTGAGGACCACTGAGAAACTGTGTGAGAGCGACAGCGCTGGAGTCATAGAGACAATCAGGAACAAGATTAAAAAGAGTGTGAGTGCAACGCTATTTAAAAAAAAGAATTCAAAGTGTATATTATGGGGCTTTCTGGAGGGTGCTGAAAAAAAACTGTAGACTAAACTGATAAGAGAGCTTCCATTAAATTTGGGGCTGAACTGAAATCCAGAGATACTGTTAGTACAGATTTAGATGGATTCCACTGTTGCTGGCATCTTCTTGTATCACGGCCGGTACAGGCTGCAATCCAGATAACTATGTTAGGATCCTCAGCTTTAGGCGTAATGATGCAGGCAGCAATGAGATCATGCCAAACTCACTCGCAGATTCAATTAGTACTCCTGGGAAATTTAATCAACAAACTGGGTGAGGAGTGGAGGGTCATTCAGGAAACTCCCCGTCCCTCATGCCTGCCAACCGCTGGGGAAACGAGATGCATGCTGGCAACTAAAGACGTGTGCCTGTGTGTGCGTGTTACAGATGGACTCTCAACGGTCCGGCGTTGTTGTCGTGGACCGCCTGCAGAGACAGATAATCGTCGCCGACTGCCAAGTATACCTTGCTGTGCTCTCTTTTGTCAAACAGGAACTCTCAGGTAATAAACAAAGAACCATCACAAGCCGGTATGATCTGAATCTGCATCATTCATGAAGTAAACCAGTGTGTGGGAAAGTGGGGGGTTAGACTGCTGTTGGTCTATCATGACTAGGTTTGCTTGATTGTTGAACTTGTACTTGACATTATAATTCTGATTACTTTGCATGATTCATTAACTTAACGAACCTGTGGGATGTTCTTGAACTTTAAATTTAACTCAAGTGAAAAGCTAAGAGAGGTGCAAGTGGTGACAGACACAGGGTTGGATGTTAGTGCCCTTAGAGGAAGAGTCTTGTTGTTTTGGTTAGTAAAGCCTGTCTTGCAAGTGCAGTAGATGGTCCATGCTTGTCCACGACCTTCAGTGTAAGCGTCTTACACCGGAGGTCAGGCAGCAGACTCACCTGCCTTGGTGAATCTGTATAATAGCATAGATCAGAGTGATGGAGATTTGTCACCAAACACCCACTTACTCAGATGAGTTTTGTTTTAAAAAGTGTTAAGCGATTAATGAAATAATAACACAGAAATTCAGCTCCATGGTTCTCAGGTGATCCTCATTTCTTATGTAATTTGCCGCCTGAAAGATGTGAGAGTGCAAATGTCTGATTCTGTCAAGATTAGACATTCAAAGATCTGTAGCACGGAGTCTGTGTAATATCCATGTGAGACTGTGTGAGATAGTGCAAGTAACTGGAGAGTTCGCAGTGATTAAATTGTCATCTTTTGTCCTGTTCTCCTGCACACTCTACCAGCTTCTTCTGATTCTCAGCATTTTTGTTACAGATCATACACCAGTAGTGTATTTCCAGTATTTCCAGCAGTGAGAATCTTGCTACAGCAAGCTAAATGAAGTATAGTTGTTTCTGGTCTGAAATTGACACAATTTGGCACTTAATAAAGTTAAATATTGAGTAAATGGTAAGAATTTATAGTCAGGCCTAAGACTTACTTTCATGGATGGGTTGTTGCAATCAGTTAAATAAATTAGCAATAAATTCAAAACCATAACAGAAGATTTAGAGTTTTTTATAGTTGTCTTCTGGGTTTCTGGGTTTGTTCTTCCACCTCAGCATGTCGGTGCAGAGTGTCCTCCAAAATATCTTATTTCCTGTTTCCACTGACAGCGTATATCAAAGGAGGCTGGATTCTCCGTAAGGCTTGGAAAATGTACAATAAGTGCCACAGCGACATCAGCCAGCTGCAGGACGCCTATCAGCGGAGGTCCTCTGGGAACCAGGACTCCCTCTCAGCAGACAACGCCAACCACAATACACCCGTGGAGAATGGTGTCACAGCCGAAGCCCTGGACCGCCTCAAGGGCTCAGTCAGCTTCGGTTACGGCCTCTTCCACCTGTGCATCTCCATGGTGCCGCCACACCTGCTCAAGATTATCAACCTGCTGGGTTTCCCTGGGGACCGACTCCAGGGCCTCTCCTCCCTTATGTATGCAAGCGAGAGCAAGGACATGAAGGCCCCTCTAGCTACGTGAGTGAGCGGAGGTCTTACCGTTTATTACATCAGGCTCATTTCTACAGCAGGAACTCAGAGCAGAAGTTTTATATGTGAGCAGCTCCCTAATCTGCTGTTTCAGACCCTCTAATTCCATTGCAGAAAAGGACGATCCATAAAACTAAACTGAGGTGACATATTTTGTCAGTTTAAACAACATAAATATTAACAACAATAAAGGGAACAGAGATGGTTGATGGTTGATATCTGATGGTGACATTTCAGTGTAAAAATACTGCTATTTGAGCAATGCAGCTGCTGTTCTTCATCATCTTTTAGAAATGTTTTGTGCAACAAGCAAACAGTGCAGTTTTTCATCGGCACTCAGAAGTACCTTCATCTAAGCATGTACCCTTTCCCTTTTTTTAAAACAATCCTGAAGAGGTCCAGTGGAGGCAGTTACTGTTACTCAAACAGCATGCAAAGATGCCTGCATCCCTAAAATGGCCCACAAGTTCCTGCGGTAGAAAATGACCTTTAGGATAATAATATTATTATTAATAATAATAATAAACAAATGAGGAATTGCTGAGTGGTTCTTAATGGTTCTGTTTAAGCTTAATTACTTGTTAATTATAGCATATAGTAAAAGATCGTCACATACGAGTTCTTCTTTTCCCCCTCTTCTAAATTTAAAACAGTCTCACCAACGGTCATTTAACAGCTATTTTGTGGTTTTTGATTACATAACATAGAGCTTGTTAGCCAATCAGGGTCCTATCTTCACCCTGGAAAAAGCAGCTGATAATGGAGTCTCACTAATAGGTTTATTTGAGAGCTGCGTGTCAGCTTTGGGAATTAATTTTTAATCTCAAGTTTTAAGCCACATTGACAAGACGTTTATAAGCTTAATTCCATTTCAGAGATTTAGACTGAAGTAGTGAGAACTGTTATCTGACCACTCTGGGCTCAATCTCCTGTTTTGTTGCTCAGGTTGGCCCTCTTGTGGTACCACACCGTAGTGCTGCCTTTCTTTGCTCTGGAGGGCTCGGATACGCATGCAGGGCTGCTGGAAGCAAAAGCTATTCTGCAGAGAAAGTCGGTGGTTTACCCCAACTCCTCTCTTTTCATGTTCTTTAAAGGACGAGTCCAAAGGCTAGAGGTATGTAACCTTTCGGTAATGGTCAGCGACAGATCAGTCAGCAAGTCCATATTAGCTGCAGATGGTTTATTTGTGTTGCGCTCCATGAGAAATACACAGTAGACAAAACATTCTTCACTGTAGTAGAGTATGAAAAATATCATTCACCTCTCTGTGTTTTGAGCACATGCACTTAATATGCATGTCAGATGGTTCATTAACTCACCAGCATCTAATCAACCACCTACTGATCCATCACCCAGCGCATGCATGTAGTCTGTCTAACATGATTACCGTTACCTGTTGGTGTGTGTGCTCTCTCCTCTGTCCCCAGTGCCATATCAACAGTGCTTTGGCCTGTTTCCATGATGCATTAGAACTTGCATCAGACCAAAGAGAGATCCAGCATGTGTGTCTCTATGAGATTGGTACGTGTTTCCTCATCAGGTTAGTCGTGACATACTGGCTGTTGGCGCAGACTGCAGTGATAGATTAATTGCACTCTGCCTGCTTGTCTTTGGAACAGGCTGGTGTAGCATGATAGAGCTGAACTTTGAGGATGCATACAGGGCATTCGAAAGACTGAAGAATGAGTCTCGCTGGTCACAGTGCTACTATGCGTATTTGACCGGAGGTAGGACTGGCATACACTAACAAGCGACACTGTTAGGATGCTGTTCCTTTTGCTTTAGCTCCTAAATGGTCCTCTTTGTGTGTTTTTTCAGTGTGTCAGGGTGCTTCAGGAGACCTGGATGGAGCAAGTGGAGTTTTCAAAGACGTGCAGAAGCTCTTCAAGAGAAAAAACAACCAGATTGAGCAGTTTGCTGTGAAAAGGGTGGGCACTCTGATGACACCTTTTTATCTTTTCTTTCTTTTACAAAGTGTAGAGCCAGTTAGGGTCACAGGTTGCGCTTCACTGCACAGCTGAAGTCAACTGTGACATTTTCACAGGACAGAAGTTACATCTAGTACCTGATTTAATTCATGGATGGTACAAAACATGAACATAGCCATCACAACTAATGAGTAGCCACATTATTCTTAGCCAGCGAGCATGCCCTGGATAAGCCTCATTTCTATAATGATCATATTTTACAAGCTGGACTTGTATTCAAAATGTTTTATTCAAAATGACTGTGAGCCTGTGAGGACGGTGTTTATTGAGGTCAAAGGAGAAAAGAGCCAACACCCATTTTCCTATAGTCTTAAATACAACTTAGAATAGAATACAATAGAATAGAAGGACTACTTTACTGTCATTCAGCAAAAACAGACAAACTGCACTGTCCTCAGCATTCATTCATGTAAAACAGTGCAGGAACAGTGTTTCTGCCACCATGGGCACCACCTGGTGGACAGTAGAAAGAATGCAAGACTAAGGTGACTTGCTTTCACTTTTCAGACTCAGAGGTTAAAACCATGTTTATAAAATTTCGTTTCTATGGATTTTTTCAGCACCCTGGTGGCTTGTGAAGGTACTGCATGTGGACAGAAAGGCATTATTTATAATAAACTAATAACTTAATGCTCATAAAATAAACCTAGTGTATATAAGTTAAATAATCACTTCTCTGGTCTTAGACCTCCAAAAATATTTTGTTTTTATTTTGAGTTTAAATCATGGAAGCAAGATCGTGGATACAAGCGGCAGAAATGAGCTTCCTCCGAAGGGTGGCTGGCCTCTCCCTTAGAGATAGGGTGAGAAGTTCGGCCATCCGGGAGGGGCTCAGAGTAGAGCTGCTGCTCCTCCACATCGAAAGGAGCCAGCTGAGGTGGTTCGGGCATCTGACAAGGATGCCTCCTGGGTGAGGTGTTCCGGGCATGTCCCACCGGTAGGAGGCCCCGGGGCAGACCCAGGACACGCTGGAGAGATTATATCTCTCGGCTGGCCTGGGAACGCCTTGGTAGGTCTGGGCCTCTCTGCTTAGGCTGGCTACCGCGCGCGACACCGGCCCGGATAAAGCGGATAAGATGATGGTGGAAAATGGCTGGTTGATGGATAGGATGGATGGATGGATATGGGATGGGATGGGATAGGATGGATCGATGGATGGAGTGCGATGGATGGATGGATGATGGGGAGGTAATGGAGTGAAGAGGGGGCGGAGTCGGAGGAGGGATGGATGGACCTTTCAGAGTCGATGAGGTATGGATGGATGGATTGGTATGGATGGATGATGGATGATGGAGATTAGGATGGAGGTGATGATGATATGGATGGATGGATCAGATGGATATGGATGGATGGATGGATGGATGATAGGATGGATGGATGGATGGAATCAGGATGGATGGATGGATGGATCATGGAAGCTCTCAGGTGGAAAAACTGTAACCGGAAGGTCGCCGGTTCGATCCCTGGGCTCTCTGTCCTGGTCGTTGTGTCCTTGGGCAAGACACTTTACCCTACTTGCCTACTGGTGTTGGCCAGAGGGGCCGATGGCGCGATATGGCAGCCTCGCTTCTGTCAGTCTGCCCCAGGGCAGCTGTGGCTACAACTGTAGCTGCCTCCACCAGTGTGTGAATGTGAGAGTGAATGAATAGTGGCATTGTAAAGCGCTTTGGGTGCCTTGAAAAGCGCTATATAAATCCAATCCATTATTATTAAAATTGTAATTAAAAGCAGTAACATTAGCCTTTCAAGTTTGTTTTAATCATTTGAGAGTTACATTAAAAAAGCCTTTTTATGTAGCAATCCTGTGTAGTTCTACGTATAATAATGACTGGGAGTGTCCAATAGGACTTTCTATTAAAACCAAAAGAAATCAGTTTCTGTGCCAAGTAAGTGTTTTTGGTGGTAAGTGGTGACCTCTGGTGAAATGTCTGACTCTTCCACCGTACGACAGCCTCTCTAATGTTTCTCTATGTTTTCTGTCTCCTGCCTGCAGGCTGAGAGACTGAGAAAGATGTCGCCCTCCAGAGAGCTATGCATTCTTGGCGTAATCGAAGTTGTTTATCTGTGGAAAGCACTGCAGAACTGCTCCTCATCTAAACTGCAGATAATGAATCAGGGTGAGGGTAGCCCATACGATTCAGATCAGCATTACCTTTGTCATCATCTATCCTGTGTAATCATTTCCTGTTTTGGGGGGGGTTCAGTATTGCAGACTATAGATGACACTTCGTGCAGAGGCCTGAAACACCTCCTTCTCGGTGCCATTCATAAATGTCATGGAAATATGAGAGACGCTGTTCAGGTATCAATCCGCAGCGACACACTGAGAGGCTTTGCAGTGGATCCACACTGGCAGATTTACTCATTTTGCTCTTTTGTGTGGCCTTCCAGTCATTCCAGCTGGCTGCTAGAGATGAGTACGGACGACAGATCAACTCATACGTTCAGCCGTATGCCGTCTATGAGCTGGGATGTGTACTCCTTGCAAAGCCAGAGGTCAGCTTGCTGGTCACAGCTTTTAGATTTTTTTTTATTTGTCTGAGATGTTGGATATTGTTGCGACTACGTGCCTAATTATAACCCCATGGTTTTTGTGCTGCTATTCAGACGGTGGGAAAAGGTAGATCACTGCTACTTCAAGCAAAGGTAAAATAATAACTTATAAGTTATTTGAATTAGAATGAACTCATTTGCAGTTTTCTCAAAAAAAACAAACATTTTAATACATGTCTATATTATGTTTTAGGAGGATTTTACAGGCTACGACTTTGAGAACCGGCTTCATGTTCGCATCCATTCAGCCCTGGCCTCTTTGAAGGAAGTAGTGCCTGTGTGACTCCAGACAACTATGAGCATCAATGGCTGAATTTTTAAGCCGTTCAGAGTAACTGTTTGATGTATTAGTGAAGGATTTGGGGAAATACATGTTTGTTACCCCACCCAGTCAGACTGACAACCAAGTGTCATCATAAAAATAGCTAGTGTGGCTATTACTAGCAGGCTTAAAACTATGCCTAAAGTTTTCAAAGTTATACTTTTATAGATGTATATTGTTAGCCAGCAAGTTAGCCACCAAAACCTATGTTGTTGCTGCATGGTGCAAGAAATATTAAAAACTTTAGGGCAGATTATTTTCATTGTATGATGAGGTGAATCATATACATCAAGCTAAAATCTAAATAAGAAATTCTGGGAGCTTTACGAATGTGTTTCTTTTAGTTTACATCCAGCTACGATAGCTGTTTTCACCTCCAAGGCATCCATGTCCTGTTTCTGGATATGATCCACGTAGATGAAACTAAATGAGTCCTTATCCCTGGGGAAAAATAACAAACAAACTCATTTCCTCCAATCTTTAACTGTTCCTTTAAGTGTTTTTCTCATGCATATGTGTAAGCTAGCTTGTAACAGTGTACCTCATTAACTTGTGTATTTGGATGACTTTAATGAAGCCTCTCCCTTCAGTGAGCAGTTTACTCAGCACACAACCTCTTAATGAGAGTGGAATTCCTTCAATAATAGTTTTAAAATGGATAAGATACAGTTAATATTGCTTTTACATTTGTGCCATCTCACTCCAACTATAAAAAAGAAAATGCTAAATTAAATTCAGTTGTTTTGTTTTTTTTACCACATAACATATTGTGAACAGGAGTGAGTAAAATGTAATATTTGATATATTTAATACATTCTTATACAGACAGATGACAAATTAATGGAAAGAGAGCAGTGGTGTTTCTATCGTGTCACCTTTCGGAATTTTTTTTTAAAAAATCAGCAGTTTTGAATAAAAAAGCAACAAAGCTGAATTTTAGTAACTGACGGTTCAGCACTATGACATCAGCAACGGCCCCTCTGTGGTTATGTTCTTCGCAAGTGGGCCCTGAGGGGATCCAAGAGAGGTACTTGCGCTCTTATTAACCTTACGCGACATTGTAAACACAAAAAGCAAAAACAGTCTTGTCTCGGAGCTATACAAAAAGAAAAAACCCGTCAAAATGTGCCTGGAAATGATAGATAATAACTAGACTCTGCAGGAGCTACGCTCGGTGCGACCTACGCCATAGTCACATAAACCGGAAGTCAGAGGGGGGGGGATCCAAGAGATCTGTTATGCTGTGGAAGCTTATTTTGATGTCTTGGTTTTGATTCACTTGTCCTCTTAGAGATATGAATCACTGCAACTACTTCAAAAAACTGCTCAAATAAACCCTAGATTTTTGCATTTCAGTACGGCTTTATCCTATAATGAAACAGTTTAATCCTTAAAGGCGATTCCAGGGTGACAGTGCCTCCATCTATAAGACATGAGGGTCACAGAGTTGATCGATAAGTACAAATATCATGCGAATCCCATCGTATGGCCTCATTAATTACTAATATTGGCTTTTCCTTTAATTTGTCACCTGTCTGTAAATTATTAAATAGCTTGCTAATGTTTCAACTGTCACTTCAGTGTTAAAATCGTGCTTTTGGTGACTAAATTTTAGTAATCTGCCTGTGGACTTTGAACAAAATGGACATTGAAACGAGTCATACCTTATCACACAGTTTCATTACTATTCACAGTGGAAATAAACTAGCAAACTAACATGGGAATAGTTAAATAACGTCACCGGTCACCTAATCTTACAGCGGCTCAAGTAGCTGGAACTTTAACAAATGAGACGACCACACTTCACAATGCCCTCATGGTGTTGCTATGTGAAGACACTGGGCGTGGCTCCTGTGCACTATGCATGGCATGGCAGGGTAACAGTGGCTTTAAGACTGTACTGAAGTCAAATGTACCTGTGTGTCCAGTCCTGCATATATATATATGACGGTATTATAATACAGTACCTTCAGTGCTGTCATGTTACCTCTTGAAAGGTGCTGCTAAATGTCAGCGTAATAAACATATATTACTAGTGACTTCTTTTGTTAGTGTTTTAGTGATTGAAGCTTTTGAATTAGTTCTTAATAGTGGCAAGTTTATATATTACATAAGAGGAGGTGCACTTTTTACAAGCAGTATTTATGCTGTTTTTAGTTTGACTGCTGTGATGGCTGGCGTTAGCAGCTGAATTGACTCAGTATGATCTTGTATTGGACAAAGAACATTGGTGAGAGTGGTTTTGACAACCTTTTTAACCAGTTTAACACTGTACATATGAAAACTTCTGTGCAGAGAACTGCCTTTTATGAACAAGCACTCCGAGGCTTTTGTTATCCGAGCAATACAAGCAAATGAAGGGTATCATATAGTCATTTAAAAAGGCTTTCCACACCGACTCTGTGTTTTTCATCACATCACATTGTAAAATTAAAGGTTTATTTTGCTGACATACCTGGTAAGACAGTGCTAGTCATCCCTTGTGGCTGTGATGGATATAACATGTGGTAAATGTTGAGCAGTTGAATGCATCCAGTACTTCTGTCACCGAAAGATTTTCTTTTGTCACGAGATTATGTTGGAATTAAAGTTACAAGTCTGGATGATGGTGTTCAAATGTGTCACTGAACAATAAACTGTTCTCCATTAATCCAGGTAAACAGTGTGTGTTTTTTCTCTTCCCTCTGGACTGAAATCGCACCTTTGAAAAGTGATGTTGCACCGATGACTTTTGGTAGACACACAGTAACTGCACTTTCAAGAAAATGTCTGTGAAACTGTTTGTTATGCTGTCAAGTTTCTATGTATTCCCATTGAATTTATCTTTACTAACTCCAGCGTCCTCTCACGGTCCAATATATGCATGCTAGGTGAACTGACTTGATTAATGCTCTATTAATGTAGCTGAGCAAATCCCAGATAGTTGATTCAGTAGTTCTGGCAAAACATGAAGTGGGAAAAGCATTTCATTACTCATTCAAGTCATTTATTCAGTCATTATATCAACTTTTTGGGATTAGGTGAATTAGTTATTCTAAATTGGCCTAAAAGTGCTAAATGAGTTCATGGTTTGAATAGTCAGTATGACCAGAAACATATTATATAAATGGCAATACATTACATTCATTAAAATTTTAATTCCATTCATGTGCACTCTTATAAATATCTTGCAGTCCTATTGGATCACAGGCTCCCTGAACACCGATATTCTCTGCAAGTAGGGGCAGAGCCGCCTCTTCTTCCTGCAGAGGCAGAGGTCCCTTGGTGTGTGATGAGATGCTGCGTATATTTAATCACACCGTTGTGGCCTGTGCTGTGTTTTATCCTGCTGTATGTATGTATCTATCTATGCACTTTCATTTTTTATATCTCAAAGTAAGCGTGCAGAATACGACAAGCTTGATTTTTACCACACCTTCATCACAATGACAGCCGAGCACAGTCACGATAATAATGTGAACTCGCTGAAAATATGCAGTGATGGAAAATTATTCAAATGTGCTCATCAAACCCCAACAATCAAATGGGGATGGTGGGATGGAAAAACTCCCTTTTTAAGAAACCTTCGGCAGCATGAGGCTCAAGGACGGTGGAAATGGTTGGGGATGAAAGAAAAGGCAAAAAAAGAAAAAATAATCAAGGGCATACGAGGACAGGACAAACCACATGGTGGGAGGAAGAGGACCAACGTTACTGACATGCAGTAGTGATAAATTAACACACTGAGAGTAAAAGACAGAAGTGGAGCAGAAGTGCTCAGTGCATGATGGGAAGTTACTTAGCAGTTGTGTCCTATAAAAGCATAACTAAAGGATGGGTCAGGGTCGGCTGATCCAGCTGTAGCCATAAGATTGATCAAAAGCAAAGTCATAAGTTTAATGTTAAAGAGAACATGTCTGGCTACACAGGAGAGGGACAGGAAAGCTGAAGGCTCAGCCTCCCATTAGACTTTTGGAAGCTCAAAGAATCAAAGTAAACAACTCTCTGCTGCCACACAGCTCATGACTGTTATTCACTCCCCGTCCTGATACTCCTATATCATTTACTATAAACAATAACGGTACACTATTATTGCAATCTAGACCACATCTTAAAAGTTCATAGAGAATTATAAAGGTCTTATTTCCTGACAACAGTGAAATTCTTTTTTATGTTTTACTAATCAGAAGTATAAAGAACGATTATAAACAATTAATTGTAACATTTATCATAAATCACGAATGAGATTTAGTGGAATGTCTACAAAGGTGTACTGTTAACAACAGAATGATCATGAGACACTGTGGTAAAGTTTAACAGGTTTATTTGCAGTTAGTTATGAATACAGGATAAACGATGTGGGCTCCAGGAGACGGGGCAGAGGTGCCGCAGGTTGTCTGAAGGCACACTCAGGCGCTGTCACAGAAGATTGGAAGGCAGAGGGGCATCACCTGAAAAAGATAAGCACATGGACAACAACACGGACAGAGGAGAGAGAGAAAAAAGCAGGCAGAGAAAAGAGGGCTCGGGGACCATGACATCTACAGAGGCCCATTTTCAGCATTTATACCTGTTGTTTCAGTGGTACATTGTGTTACCCGCTGTCAGTTTTCTCATGTTAAATCCAAACTTGTCAATCAAGAAATCTTTTTCCAAAGACATCAGCACAAACCAAAATCATTTTGCAGATTAACAACGGTAAATTTGCGAGGTTTGTGATGGATCATCCCATTTTTCCTTTATAATCACATTAAATCAAATTTGCATCTGGTTTATATCCATGTGATTTGTTCATACAGGAGTAATTGATACTAAAAAAGTGCCCATGTGTAACTGTGTAGACATTTCCTAACACATCATGAGTGATTTTCCATAAATGATTCATTAAAAAGACATCTGTGAAAACATTACTGATAAACTTTATGTAATATTACATTAAAGCAAATGTAAAGTCATAACTGAGACAAGATGTTTCAATCTGACCACAAACTTTTGAGCAGTAGTGTGTATTGTGTACATGTGTCTGTCTTTATCTGATCCGGATTATTTTAGTTGTGTCTATCATCAAAAACTGAGTTGAAGTGTTTAAGGTCTGATGGGAAACTCTCCCTAACAAGTCCACTTTATGGCTGTGTGCTCATTTTGTCCTATTAGTGGCTCATAGGTGTCTAACTAGTCCACTTTATGCATACGTCCTAGTGTATCACGCTTATCAGTGGCTCATGGTTGCTTAAGGCCTATGTCTGTACTTGACCACAGAGGCAGAGCATCGTTCGATCCTGCCAGCTGCCGATCTAGGGAGCATTTCAAGGATGACACACTCCACTTTCTCTGCAGCAAGACAGCTCATAACTTTTTAACTGTGTTTCCCTGTCCTCATACTTCCACGACAGCTACACTACAGCTCAAAAGTTTGAAGTCAATTAGAAACATCTTACTTTTCTAAAATACTAAAAGTGTTTTTTATATTTTGTAAATTAGTATGAAATACAAAGAAATATCAATGTTTAAAACTCATACTGATCACAAATAACATAATATCATAATAATATCACAATAATATCACAATAACCATGCGATCTGTCCATACAGGAGTGATTGATACTAAAAATGGGCCCATGCATAAGTAAACACATTTAAATCATATCATATTCAAATCACATCATATTAAATCTCAACGTTTTAGTTACCAAACCTTTTTCCAAAGACATCAGCGTCTTTCCAACTAATTTAAAATTAAATTTGCAATGTTCACTTTTTAAACATCCCATTTTTTCTTATTAATGTAATTAAAACAAATTGGCACATTTGTATAACAACAGCTGGGCCTGCAGATCTGTAATATAATCGTAGTTAACCACAGCTTAGGTACTTTGATCTGCAGTGACCTCGGGCGTCTGGATACCTATTTTTTATTTTCACAGGTGTAGAGCCTTTTCTACAAAATTACAAATAAACTGCATTTTTTAAAAGTTCCATTAGCATTAACGGAGATCGACAAGTAACTAAAGATTTAACAGAGTGATTTGTAGAGAAAAAAGAAAATAACCCATTTCAACATTTTCAGTTCAGATCAAAATTATTGTTCTGATTAAGGAAACAGTAAATCTCGCCACATTATTGTCCTGATCCTCCATTTTTCTTTTTCCAGTGTGATTACTCCAAATTCAACTTTAAATACATAAATAAATAAAAGCAGATACACACCCAGATGTTTAAACCTTCTGGGTTGTTTTCTTTTTATCAGTTTAACACATGGATTGATTTTCACTTCTTACAGTAAGAATCCTCCAACAACCTTTTGAAAGAAACATTTTTTTGTCTTTCCTCAATTTTGAGACCAACTGAACCCACAAACCTGTAGCCCCAGACCCCAAACTAACCAAATTTAATGTTTCCTTAATCAGCACAGTAATTTTAACTCTTGGTGTGTGATGTCTACTCACAGTTTTGATGCTTGCTTCTTCGACTTGATCCACGATTAGCTCGACGCCATCTCTCTGCTGTTTTCTCTCTCCTCGTGCTTCTCCTTCATGCGTCCTGTCCTCAGATATAATCCAACAAGCTGCCTCCTTGTTTCCTCTTTGACTTGTGTTAAGTAAAGTTAAGAGTTAAGAGAAATCCAGAAAAGTTTTCCTGCTTCAGAAGCTCTTCCAGCTGCCTGTCTTGTTGTCCTCCTTTAAATGTTTTCTTTAGCATTTTTGTATTTGTATTTTTCTGACTTCATATTGCCATGATAACATAACACAGAGCATTATGGTAGATTAATTCAGGGGGTTCTGTCCTCCTGCAGAACTGTCGGTGATGTCATGGGGAGCAGAAATCTAAAATTGTGTTAATGAGATTTATCTTTAAACAGACACTCACTGATCCTGCAAGAGCAGGAATTTAACTACAAACCCTCATAGTCCCCATCAGGATTGGTCATTGTGCTCTGCAGTAATGGTCACAGTGGCTGGTTTAAGTTTGTCCCATAGAAATCCTTGATCATTTTCAGGGTGCATGAGTGTTAGATTGTATCTCCATCTCTTCCTAAGCAAGTTGCAAACATGTAGGCGGCATTCATCCACAAGATTTTAGTTTGTTTGAGCTGAAATTCAGTTTTTAATATTCTCGTTTTTTTCTTCAATCAACAGGCAGCTTAAATATCCTGAATGACAATTGCTCATTATCACATACATGTGTTTTTTTTAACATGATTTCATTTGGATGACTTCACATACACTAAATTAAAATCCATGTCAAATAGACAGGGTGGGCCATTTATATGGATACACCGTAATAACATGGGAATGGTTGGTGATATTAAAGTCCTGTTTTTGGCACATTAGTATATATGAGGGGGCAAACTCCTCAAGATGAGTGGTGACCATGGTGGCCATTTAGAAGTCGGCCATCTTGGATACAACTTTTGTTTTTTCAATAGGAAGAGGGCCATGTGACACATCAAACTTATTGTTAATGTCACAAGAAAAACAATTGTGTGCTTGGTTTCAACGTAACTTTTCACGGCAGGGCTGTTTGAGCACTGTGGTAGAAATGTATATGTACTAGCTCGGTAAGGACAGTTCAAAGTAGTAGAAAAAAGAAAAAGAACATTTTATTCTTTATTCAAAATATTTTTATAATTATGATATCTCTTTAACCTACACCCACTACACATTTTTTTAGACCATCACTG